ACATCTTCACAAACAGCGCCGGGTTCGGTGCTGATGGGCGGCAGAAATCAACAGCTCACAGCAGGTTTAATATCAGTCTCACCCAACTATTGCAGCATCAACCCTGTCATTTACCCGACCTYGTCATGGTGAACGCAAAAACACTGCCAAAATCAGCGAGTTCTGTGCTCAAATCGAATAAAAACCAACAGCTACAGCTCTGCAGCCCCGGCACCTGGAACGGCTGGTCCGGGGCACAAAGAGAGGTTTCTAATCATGAAAAGTTTGAAATAAGATTAAAAAAAAATTTTAAAAAAATTATATATATATATATATATATATATATATAATATTTGAGGATATACAATTTCTTTGAGGATACACAATTTCTTTGAGGATACACCATTTCTTTAAACGGGAAGGCAACTTGAAGCCTCAGTCACCAGGAAAGCTCTGCAGTCAATCCCTGCCCTCCTCGCTCTGAGGCTGCCGTGCAGCCTTTCATTTCATTTCATTTTATTTCACTATTTCATTTAATTTCATTTCTTCTCTGAGGTTCCACCAGTCATGCACACAAACCAGTCTGTGCTCATGCACACAAACCAGTCTGTCCGCACCAGCAGCAGCACAGATTATCTCATCAACCGCTGGCAAAGCGCAGAAACCACCGGAGGTAAAATGTAAAATGTAAAATGTGTTCGGGTTTATTTACAAATCTGCCCGGATAAAGGAGCAGCTTCTGGTGCGTCCTCAAAGCCRCCCGAGCGGAATTTATTTGTGTGGCAGACTGAGACAGCTGCTTAGGATGGAAATTGTGAGGAAAAGAGAATTGGACGAGGAGAGGAAAGGCAGCCCTGCTGAGCACAAAGACGAGTAAAAAATCCACCACGAGAGCGTTTACAAAATATCCCAAAATACTCATTTTAAAGAAAACGCGTTCTTCATGTCCTGTTGCAACAGAAAACACGAAAAAAAAAGAGTGACTTCTGCATAGAGCATGAAGCGGTTCCTATAAATCGGAGTTTATAGGAACTGGTTCCTATTCCTGGGGTTTATAGGAACGGGTTCCAATTCCTGGAGTTTATAGGAACGGTTTCCTATTCCTGAAGTTTATAGGAACGGGTTCCTGTTCCTGGGGTTTATAGGAACGGGTTCCTGTTCCTGGAGTCTGCAATTTGTGCTCTTTGTCAGAAAGAAGGAGCTGCTGCAGCGCAGAATTACAGCAGCTCTGACCCGGACAAGCCTTGCTCACCAAACCCAGCAGCAAATAAAACCCAGCAGCAAATAAAACCCAGCAGCAAATAAAACCCAGCAGCAAATAAAACCCAGCAGCAAATGAAACCCAGCAGCAAATAAAACCCAGAGCGCTCCAAATGCCGCGTCCATCACGGAACCGTCACCCGGACAGATTTTGGGACAATCAGGAACATTTTTGTGAGCAGCACCGTCACCATGAACCCTCCATCAGCTGTGCCAGCCAGCGCTGCCCTGGGCTCTGCACGGACCTGTCTGCGGAGCTTAAAGCTCATTTTGCGGTTTTATTTTGTGTTTTTTTGTGCTGCAGCAGCGCCGGGACAGCCCCTGGGTGTGCCAGGAGTGGAACAGCCCCGGGGCTGCCTCTGTTCTCCACCCAGAGGCTGCTCCGAGCTGGCACTGAGCACACGGATCAAGAATTCCCTGCTTTTTCAACCCCCAGTGCGCTGAGATGGTTTGGGATCCATCGGGAAGAAGAAAACACAGAGATATCCGCACAAACTCTCGGTCCTGGCTGGCCGGCAGCGGCTGAGCCGAGCACGGGATGGAGATGGGAAC